GCAATGCTTCTTATTTAATGCTTCTCATTTTATGATTTACTCTCAAAACAAAGTGGTGAGTTTGGTATTAGTATTATCACTGTTCTACAAATGATTCTTAGCGAGGTTAAGCAACTTGCCCAAGTTCAAATACCTTTTCATTGTAAAACCAAAATACGAACCTTGTGTTTTTTCTGAGGAGTCCTTGAACCTAAGGCATTGAGAGCACATGTAATTCTCATTGGCTATACTGTAACAATACTTTGGCCACCTGATGCGAATAGCCGACTCATTGGAAAAGACCCAGATGCTGGGAGAGATTGAGGGTAAGAGGAGAAGGGGGCAACAGAGGATGAGATGGTTAAGAAGCATCACCGACTCAATGGACATGAGTTTGAGCAAGCTCTGGGAGATAGTAAAGGACAAGGAAACCTGGTGTGCTGCAGTCCATGGGGTTGCCAAGAGTTGGACCTGACTTAGAGACTGGACAACAACAGTACTGTAGCAATGCTGGAATAGTCTATTTTTTGCACTGATGTTTATTATCATTTTATGAGGAGTTGAGCCTAAGAATTACCTTAATTGTTAACCTGTTTTGCAGAATTCTTTGTCTAGTAACTCTACTCACTGAAGTGATTTTTCTCCTGCATTTTAATATGACTAAAATCAAGATGTATGTTACAGTGGAATTTTTGAGAATTCTAAATTTAGTAACTAACATTGTTTGAATGCTAATAAAAGCTTGAGCACTCTCCAATGTAGCTGAAATTTCCTTAACTTCCTCCCCTTCATTTCGGTCATCCATTATTAAGAACCATCCAGACTCTCAAATTCCTCATCATAACTAAACCCAAGGGATAAAAATCTAATATCTTGGAGGAAACAGAATAGGAATTAAGGTTTGCCTGTGATATCCACATTTCTTCTTTCAGAATGCTTCTCATTGGAGTGGTATCCAAAGGCTAGCTTTTTTCTCACCAAAATCAATAAAAGGAAAATATGATTTCTAGTAGGCTATTTATTATAAACAAATATGTTGTAACACATCACTTCGGCACTTCTTTGCAGTTTTTTTTAATCCAGAAGAAATTCTGTGTAATGGTCTTAAAGCTTTTAGGTTTTAAAATCTCTTTTTAAAAAAATTTATTTATTTTTGTCTGCACTGGGTCTTCATTGATGCTTTTCTCTAGTTGAGGAGATTAGGGGCTACTCTTTGTTGAGGTGCATGGGCTTCTCATCACAGTGGCTTCTCCTGTTGCAGAGGACGGGCTCAATAGTTGTGGCACATGGGCTGAGTTGCTCCACAGCATGTGGGATGTTTTCAGACCAGGAATCGAACCCATGTCCTCTGCACTGGCAGGCGGATTCTTTACCACTGAGCCACCAGGGAAGCCCTGAGTTTTTAAATCTTAAAAATAGTTATGATATCGTGTATGTATATATATGTATCATAGAATCATTAAACCTGGCTAAGAAATGAAAGTCTTATTCCAACATATATATTAATTGCAGGTTAGGGTTGTTTAATTACCAAATCACATTTCCCTCTACACTATTTAACATATTGGGAGAAGTGTGAAAATAAAAAATTGGGGGATGCCTCTGTATATTGTAACCTAATGATTTAATACTAGAGCTCAGAACTAACAAAGAAAAGGCATCCTGAGTCAAGTGAGTCAATGTGTTATGACGTTTAAGGCCCTTGGTTAGGATTTTTGGCATGCAGGTGTGCTTAGTATGCTTAGACGACAGAGGATGAGGTAGTTAGATGGCATCACCAACTCAATAGACATGAGTTTGAGCAAACTGGGAGTTGATGAAGGACAGGGAAGCCTGATTTAGCATGCTGCAGTCCATGCGTGCATGCATGCTAAATCACTTCAGTCGTATCCAACTCTTTGCGACTCCATCAACTGTAGCCCTCCAGATGTCCATGGGATTTTTCAGGCAAGAATACTGGAGCAAATTAGCCATGCCCTTCTCCAGGGGATCTTCCCGACCTGGAAATCAAACTCGTGTCTGCCTGTGTCTCCTACATTGCAGGCGGATTCTTTTTCCACTGAGTCACCTGGGAAGCTGCAGTCCCTGGGGTCGCAAAAAGTCGGACACGACTTAGGGACTGAACAACAACCAAGGCATCTTTATCCCAGTGGCTCAAACTCTTGGTAACCCTTTCGTTTATCTATTATGGTTCTTCATATTGGCATTTTGACTTTGTCCTATATCTAGCAAAATACATATACACGTATATAAATACACACAAGCATATTCATTGTTGGCTAAATGTCCAAGTCATCAACAGGATATTTTCAAAATCCAGACACATTTGATTAACTAGCCACATCTAATGTTATGTCAGCATTCAGACACAGCTGTTTGTACTTAAATATCTAACCAGAGGGGATTTTCACAATTTTATGATTGGACTACACAATGGACAGGGACTTGGAAATATGGGATTTTTGTACACCAGAATTGTTTTATCAGCCTAGTGTTGGGTTACTATGTTGCTTAGAATATGGCCATTTCTCAGCCTTTAGTCTCCCTTTCTGTAGCATTTAGTAGTAGTATCTCTTCTTTGTTGGTCCCTAGGACAGCCCTTTCTCTATTGTGATTTATCTTCTTTATCTCCTTCATCAGCTCTCACATCCTTTCTCAGTTGATCAGAAACTAGGTTTCTTTTCCCCAGGATTTGATCCTTGGTGTTTTCTCTTTATGTGCTGTTTTAAATTCAGTGACCATCAGTAGGTTGGTGACACAAATCTACAACTCTAGCCCCAAGTTTTTCTTTGGGGTTCTAGCTTTCTGCTTCTAGCTGTCTCATTACATCTCCATGTCAATATCCAGGAGGCGGTAGTGAGTTTACAAAACCATGGGATTCTGTTGGTGATGGTCTTAGCTGGAGCTGATGGAAGAAGGCCCTTGACTTTGTTACTTACATGCATATGCAACATCACATGCATATGTACATGTATATTTGTTTGTTTCACCACATATTTTAAAGTGGAATTTTAAAATTCCACTAATCTCTGGTGATTAGAGAAAAAGTATTGTGATGTAAAGATTTTTTTTGAGAAATTTCTTTGTACTTGGGGACTGTGATAAGTCAGTTGCAATAAGGAAGTTATACTGTGATGTAGCCCTTCTTATTTCATTTTTGTCCTCTTCCTTTCCTTTCCATTCCCTTGTAAGAGAAAATAGCTCAGGAAACTGGTTTACAATCAGTAGTCTGGGAACTTCCGGTTTCTTTACCAGAATCTCCCTGGATGATGCAGTTTCTGACGCAAGCAGCATTGTTTTGGGATAGGAGTTTTTAATATAATGGTTGTCAGGCCAAGTGGCTAAGGTTGCTAACTGCAGGTATTATCCTTTGCAGAAATTCAGTTGGGAATTCTTTACTGCCAACTTTTATGTTCATCTTTTTTTTTAATTAATTTATTTTAATTGGAGGATAATTACTTTACAATATTGTGATGGCTTTTGTGATTCTTTAAATTTAAATCCCATTCCCTCCCACCTCCTCCAGCAAGTAAGGATGGACTACTTAGGAACTCTTATTTCTGAAGATTTTATAATCTTTTGTAATCAATATATTCTTTAGAGCAGTGTCCTCTGTCTTAGTCCAGAACCTCTATTTCTTGTCATGCCTACCTGGGTTGTAAGTTAATATTCTGTCACTTGTTAGGGAAGTTTTTAGATTCTCTTTTTCTTTGGATCAATTTTAATTTATATGGGAATTAAAGAGAATTATAATTAAAGTTATATTTAGACTAAGTTTTCTTTTTAAGCTAAACTACCTTCATGCCAAATAAAATAGTCAAGTATCATTGTTTTATGTTTATTTCTTCCTTCCCTTACTAATGTGCTTCCCTGGTGGCTCAGTGGTAAAGAATCTGCCTGCAATGCAGGACACACGAGTTCTATCCCTGGGTGGGGAAGATCCCCTGGAGAAGGAAATGGCAACCCATTCCAGTGTTCTTGCCTGGGAAATCCCATGAACAGAGGAGCCTGGTGGGCTACAGTGCATGGAGTCACAAAAAGAGTCGGACACAACTTAGCAACTAAACAACAACCCTTACTAATAGTCTTTAAAAAAATTGCTGATGTTCTTAATAAACCCTGTTCTTATTACCTAGACTAAGTAATCTTTACACAAAATATTATAGTTTGAAATAATTATAGAAATGACAGAAATGAAGAATGGAAGTTTGAGAACATTCCTTTCGACTTAGGTTAGTGTTTATGTATAGTGTCAAATTCTTATCAGGAAGCCTCCAGAAATATTCTTTTAACCAGGAGGAAAGGCTGTAGCTCTTTTTGCTTACAGAACTGGAAAAAATGTTAACGTACCCTTTGTTTTCTACTTTTGGAACTTGTTTTTAATAACTGATAGTACTTCAGTGGTAGTTTTTCCTAGATTTCTGTTATTACAGAAATAATTGAATGGGAAATATTTATGTTAAACATAAATAATTGAAGATCTTGATTTGATCATGATCAAAGGTTAGATACAGACAATAGAGCAGTAATCAGCACCCAGGTATTTTGGATGGGGAAAGGTGAAGAAGGAACTTTCTTGCTAGGAAAAGTAAATATAATATTTATATTATAATATTTATAATGGTGACATTTTTCTAGCTTCCATTTTTTAAGTCTGTAAAATGGAAATAATATCTTCATAGATATTTTTAGAATTAAAAAATAATATATATGAACAGTTTAGAATAGTGCTTAGCATCTACTAAGCCCTCAATAAATGTAGCTATTGCTATTATTATTTGGATTTTTAAAAAGAGAACCCATACTCAGGGACAGCTGATGGTAAATGCACCTGCAATTTAAGACTTAACAAAGTAGTTAGGACATTAAAAAATGTATCCAGTTCCACTTGTTTGTTGAATCTTGCCTTGGAAAAGTTAGTACAAGATTTAAATCCCTTATTCTGGTTTTATAGAATGAATAAACTTAATCTTAAAAGTGAAATAACTACATCTGTTCTTTTTGTTTTTTCTTTGTTTCAGGTTTCCCCTCAAAAAACCTATAAGGTAAGTTGTTCAGTTGCACTTCATATGTTTAGGTTCAGTGTTACTTAGAAGTGTTCCCTTGAAATTATGGCGCATTTTCGTGGTTTTAGAAAATGTGGATTTAAGTAGTTTAAAATTTCAGAATGTTTTACAAGTTTGAAATATAACAGGTGTTGCATATTTTTTCTGGAAGATGGCATTATTTTGATAACATTTCTAATGTTTTTAATATAAGCATTTTAAAAGTTTGTTCAAGTCAGTACTTAAGGTCACTCCCTATGAAGAGATTTAATTTCGAAATCTTTTGTGCCTGTTTTAAGTTGTGAGTAGCTTGGGGAGTGTAAATGGATTGCCAGTTTTGATGTGTTTTATAACTTGGTTGACTGTAACTGCCTTTAGTTAATGAACTTTGGCAAACTGAATCAGTTAGTTACCCTAAGAAAGTAAAGGAAAAAATCCAAAATGTCCAAATATTTCTGTGTCTGTATCTGTATCTTCATATTTATTCATTTTCTGGGGTTAAATACCTCTCCCTGAGTACTTGTTCTTCAGCATCTCTTTTCTCTCTGGTCTTAATTGTCATAAATATTATTTAAAGTGTAGATAGTGTGTCATTCCTAATTATTATGATACTTTTATCATTTTTTAGTGATGGCATAGTCCAAGATACCAATGCTCATTTTGACATTTCAGTTAATTAGTAATGTGTGTGTTACAGTAGTGGTCTTATTTGCTGCCCAGCCATTATCTGATCAAGTGTAATATGGTGGGGCATAGGAAAAACAATAATTCTAATTTCATGTGGGACTTGCAAAAAAAATGTCTGTGGCACCAGCTGTAGGCAGGCTTTAAAAGAGCCTTGCCTAAGATTTTTTTTTTTTTTAACTGTTCTCATCCATGCTGTATTTACACAGTATTTTTGAACCTGACCATAGTAAACACAGGGTTGGGGACTGTGTTTAATTACTTTTCAGTACTGTTTTATTATCTGCTATATTTGAATAATAGTGATCAGCCTGTGAAAACCACTAAGAGATTTTAAGCAGTTGTTTCTCAGAATAAAATACGCTTTATTACTAAATGCTGTCTTGTGCTTAGTCACACAATCTTGTCCAACTCTTTGTGACCCCATGAACTGTTGCCTGCCAGGCTCCTCTGTCCATGGGATTCTCCAGGCGAGATTACTAGAGTGGGTTGCCATACCTTCTTCCAGGGGATCTTCCCAACCCAGGGATCGAACCTAGGTCTCGCACATTGCAGGCAGATTCTTTACTGATTGAGCCACCAGGCAAGCTCAAGAATAGTGGAATGGGTAGCCTGTCCCTTCTCCAGGGAATCTTCCCTACCCAGGAGTCGAACTGGTGTCTCCTGCGTTGCAGGCGGATTCTTCACCAGCTGAGCTACCAGGGAAGCCCTTATTGGTAAATACTGCTCAGTATTTTAAAGCACTTTTTGTAACCCGCTAAATAGACTCTGTATTAAACATAGCACAGACTGAATTTTAAAACGTCTTGAAAAATATGAATTAGGTTTATGAGACTATGTAAGGTAAACTCATTTATTGGTTTCTCTTTGTAAGACGCACTTGGGGTTTTTTAATTGTTTTTGTTACAGTGATTTTTTTGTAGTAAATATTTAATTGCTTTTATTTAACTTAGGCATGGAAGTATTTTGAACCGAGAGTCACCAACAGATAAGAAGCAGAAAGTTGAGCGCAGTACATCACATGATTTTGACCCCACAGGTAACACACTTTGTTCTGCCAAAGAATACTGAGACTGGTGAAGTTTCGAATAATACACCTTAAGCTACATAACTGCCTGAAACACCCAGGAATAGCTGTTTGATCTATTTAAGACTCTCCTTCCTCTTCAACTACATGATATGAAACCTTTGCACTCAGAAGGAATACAGGCATTTTTTAACTTTCAACACTATGGATTCTACTATGAAATCATCATTGCAGACTGTTATATTTTAAAATAATAATGATAATAGAGATAGTTATATCCGAATTGGAAATTTTGGTCAGACCAAGGACTTCGTAGCAAGGTATGAACAGTAGTATGTTTATAAAACCAAAACTGTAATCAAGGCTATAACAACTACATATTCTGTAGTCAATTAAAAATTCAGATGTGATCACAGTAAATTGGAGAATTAGATAAAATAACTCAAAATTAATGATTGTCTCACTTTAGAGTAAGTAGGTGAATAGAAATCCCTTTTTCTTCAAAAAGTGTTCTAAACTCAGAGCTGTCTTTCAACTTCAGTAGTATTGATATTTCCTAGAATTTTCATGCTAATGTACTTCTGACTATATTCTTAATTTTGTATATAGGTTGAACCCCTCTTGTAATATATAGGCTTTGGTTTCCCCTTGTAAACTAACTCAGTATTTAATTTATAAAAATTACTTGATAAATTTGCTTTTGTCATTTGAAACTTATTCTTGTGCATATGCTGTTTTATTCACTTAGTTGTTCCTATGACAAAAGATGAAGTAAGTAAATACTAAGGTCTCAGATACATAAATATAATGTATCTATTTTTAGATATTTTCACTTAGAAATAACATTTTTATAAAGGGGGTTTTTTTTGTATCCAAGATGTTACATAGTTTAGTATAAACCGCTAGTGCACTTTGAAAAATATAAATATTACCTAGTAAGGAAAGAATGGGAAGTGAACAGCTACTGAACCTTGGGTGGTAGGTTAAAAATGAAATCCCAGTCATCAATTTAGGAGGCTTTGGTGGTGGGAGTATGTAATATGTAACTTCTGGATCTCTATTAAGAAATAATTCTTTGTTTCTGACACCTAATTTTGATATCATAGGACTCCAAGGCTTTAATTTATTGATTAGTTTTGTCTTGATAACTAGGGTCACAGAGTTTCTGTCCTATACTCATCGAAGCCATTAAAGTCTTGTTAGATTGATTTACTCTGTATTGTTCATCTGTGATGTGCCCATCTCCAAAGACAGATTAGCAAGGTGGTACCCAGTGTTTCACAATGAGATCATTACAGCTTTTAGTGCTTTTGTCATCTCTACAATTGTCAGATGATATATTTTGTAGAATTCTCATGTGTTGTTTTGTTTGAACATATTTTTATTGCACTGTCTTTTCTTCAACAAATCTAAAATGTCATTACCTACCTGTGCTGTTCGTGACTATTCTAAGGGCTGTCACCTGTGATGTTCATACTTTTGTGTTTGCACGATTTAACTTGATCATGATTCATTCTTTTTTTTTCCCCCCATGAATTTTCCCCCTTACATTTGGTCTCCATATTTTCTATATCTCTCTCCTTTTCTCCCGCTCTTGTGCAGATAGCTCCTCCAAGAAGACAAAGTCTAGTTCAGAGGAGAGTAGATCCGAGATATATGGTAAGCTAATGTAGCCAATTCAGCCTTGCACCTTTGGAGCTTGCTTCATGCTGTTTCATTTTTTTTTTTAACTGCAGTCTTCTTGTGTCTGCTCTGCATGGCATGATCTCCTGCAGGGAAAGGGAGCCTGGGGTTTTAATGTGGCTGTGATGTGGAAGCTTAAGATTGCTAGAAACTAACATTATAGAGGAAGAACAGGTACATATTCTCTTTCATCTTATGTTAGGAAGGTGATCTCTTAAGATGTTTGGGTCGAGTTTCTCCAGATAACATGGATGAGCTTTGAATTCTTGGCATTTTCTTCCCATGTCCCATTTGCAGAGTTTGGATCATGTAGAATTTCATCATTCCTACCAGTCTTTTCCTCTCAGTTTAGTCCCAGTGTAGTTTAGATGTGTTAGCAGCTCTTCAGAATTTTTATTTTATTTTTTATTGTTTGTTTCTTTTTAATTGCCTCATCATCTGGAAGTGCTGTTCTTGTATAATTTATCTGCAACAGCAAAAATAACTTAAATGTTTTATTTTTGTAGATGAAGAATATCTCTGCCTTTCATAAGTTTCCCCAAAGCTTATTCTGAATGAGAAAATTTCAAAATGGCACCTCTAAAAAATAATCTCAACAAAGAGCAGGTTTAACCTGAATGGTCAAGTCTTGCAGCAGATGATTGAAACACTAATATTTCCAGGCTGTGTTCTGTCTTCCAAAGATAACATAAACCCTGTTTGTGTAGTTCAGACATATTTTTCCTTTTCCTTTGCATAGTTTTACCTGCCCTCTTTTCTTGTTTTGGCATCTAATTAGTGTTTTGAGAAAAGTGAATAAGAGAAGCACTGCCTAGAATGTAGACTTTTAAAATAATCTCTGAAAGACTAATAAGTTTTTCTTTTTTAAGAAGATTCCAAATTTGGCCTCAGAGAAAAACCAGGTCTTCTTTGGTAGAGCCAAAATCTATCAAGTAGAAGTTTCTCCAGGTGCAGCTGTTTCCTAGCTTGATTAATACATGAAAGGAAAAAATATGTAAAAATGCCCCCTTTCTCTTTTAAGACACTTGAACACATACTGTCAGATACTGTTTAGTATTATGAGGTCTGTGTTTGGTTATAAATCAGTTAATGCTTCTGTGTTAGATACATACCTATAGTTCTTTGCTTGAGTTTATGTGACCAGTACTTTTTCTGTGACGTTTAAACCTTTTACAGTAGTTCAACAGGAAATGTGTACCATACCATATGGCATGTTTTTTTCTTCCTTCCAAAGTATTTGGCTCCTCATTATTTCTTGAGACTCTGTCTTTCTGTTCTATATAAAGAGCTTCCTATGGTTTATTCTCTCCTTAGGAATGTGAACACTCTCTTTATAGCACCATTCTTTTCCAGTAACCTTTGCAATGTTGTAATTTCATCTCCCCCTCATTTTCCTAGATCTGTGGTATGTGTGTTGTTTACTTTGGATGATACTAACAATTTAGGAATCCATGACTATAAATAGTATACTAATATTTTTCTTACCAGCGATAGGAATACTAACACTAGTTCAGACATGCCATTGACTTGGTAGTAACAGAAACATTTTAAGTGGTAATGGGGAAGTAAGGTGTGGCTTCTTTGTGTTTGTTTCTTGAGAACCCTTGAAATACCTTTTTTGGAAGGAACTAAGCCATGAGTTCTCAAAAAGCATTTTCAAGAGGGGTGACTTGATCAGAACAGAGTTAGCATGCTAACTTAAATCTCGTTGACATTACATATATTTTATCACCAGTGTGAATAGACTTCAGACTGTGTGCAGTTACCATGGGTGAAAAGGAGTCTCTGGAGAGTTTTGGAAAGTTTAGAAATACTGGAGTATTACTTGAGTAGAATCATAGCAACTGGTGACATTACTTTAGTGTAGGGTCTCTTAAGCAAGGGGATCCAACCAGTCCATCCTGAAGGAAATCAGTCCTGAATATTCATTGGAAGGACTGATGCTGAAACTGAAACTTCAATACTTTGGCCACCTGATACAAAGAACTGACTCATTTGAAAAGACCATGATGCTGGGAAAGATTGAAGGCAGAAGGAGAAGGGGACGACAGAGGATGAGATGGTTGGATGGCATCACTGACACAATGGACATGACTTTGAATAACCTCCGGGAGTTGGTGATGGACAGGGAGCCCTGATGTGCTGCACTCCATGGGGTCGCAAAGAGTCAGACACAACTGAGCGACTGAACTGAACTGAGGATCTCTTAACGAGCCCACTTTTAACTTTTGAGATTATCTTCTCTTGGGGTAAAATTTGTTGGCTGGATGCTTCACACAGATACTTGTCATTCACTTACAAATTATTTATTTTAAATTTTCCTAGCCATTTTTAGAGCCATTTTGTGAGATGGATTTACTTTGCTCATTTTAAGAGGAAATCAAATGTTTGTTTTGTATTCACTTCTTTGTTAAGCTTCCTCCCAGTACAGTAGGTCAATATTTGTTCCTTTTCCCCTTATTTTCCTCTCAGAACATTTTGGAGTCTTTTGACCATATACAGATATATTTTCTGGTCTGCAATTTTAATGATATTTAATTTTATGTTTTCCTTACTGTAATGGAGAAATTTTGTGTTGTTTGAGGAATGTGAGAGATTTAGCAAGGGAATTTTGAGTTAGACTACAACTACTCCCTAATTTCTGCTTTGGTGTCCTGAAAAGATCCCAGCTGATGGTATTATGTATAAGAAAATAAGCTATGTCTTTTTGAATCTGTGTTAGTCCGCTGGGACTTCTATAGCAAAACACTAGAGACTTAAACAAGAGTTTTATTTTCTCAGTTTTGGAGACTAAAAATGTGAGATCAGGCTGCCAGCGGCTGCCAGCATTAGTCAGGTCCTGGTGAGAGCTCTTCTCCTGGTTTAAAGGTGGTCACCATCTTGCTTCGTGCTTGAGTGGTGTTTTCCTTGGTGCAAGCATATATAGAAGGGGAAAGAGAGGACAAGCTCTTTGGTATCTCATAAGAATACTAATCCCAGCCTGAGAGCCTCACTCTTAATGATCTTACCTAACCCTAATTCCTCCTCAAAGGACTCATCCATCTCCAAATACTATCATGTTGAGGGTTAGGACTCAGCATATGAATTTTGTGGGCGTGACACAAACATTTACTCCATAACAGAAGCAAATAGTTACTACTAAAAATATCCTGATTGAGATATTTAGAGTGCATTTTTTTAAATTCATATTTTTTTTTCCTGACTTCTCATATCTGTAAAATGAGAAGTTCTTGGTTTGATTTTTACTCCCACCAAGTTATCATTCTCTCAGTTTTTTCTTCAGCTTTGCAAAGAGCTTTCTACAACATGAACGTCTGTGTCCTCATAATTCACTCACTTCCTAACTTAAGATCTGACTGCTGAACACATACTCTCTGGGAGGTGAATCAAAATAATCTAACTTGAAAATTTATAAACTTTCTCAGTTCTCACCTTCCCCTTGAAACATTAGGCAGTGATGATACCCTATCTTTGGTGTATATAATATTACGTCTACCCTTTTCTTTTCTCTTTATATTGGTTTTGTCTTTTCTGTATTTATTTTTCCTTCTTCTAAATTTAGGCATAACCCAAGTTTGTCCCTGATCTTTTTCTGTTTCCAGTCTCATATTTGTAACAGTTCGCTGCATACTCCATTCTATCCTTCAAATCCAAATGACCAGTCTGGGATTTATCAGTGTTAACTATGACTGGAAATTGATTTCCCTGTTTCTTTTAGTAGCACAGTCAGTTTTAAATTTACTTTTGACTTCTTCCTTTCTCTTACCCTCTATTGTCAACTGTTTGCCATGTTTCATTGGTTCTACCATCACATTATTTTTCACCCCTTACTCCATGGTTTCATCTTTGCAGCTTTGTTCAGTTTTTCATTGTCATTAGACTTTTCTAATAGACTCATAAGTTTCTTTCATGTTGATTTCACATTGATTCACTTCCTTTTCATTTTTCTATATTCAATCAGATTGGTATCACTGAAGTAAGGATTTAGTCATTCGCTTTTTAGGAAAGTACAAATAGTTATTAAGATATGCATGATTTGTTTCCAACTCATCATTCTCAATTAATCTACTACTTTTCACCTAAAGGAACCAGAATGTCCCCCAAATTTTCATTTCTTCATATATGACTTGGTACTTTTTCTTGGCTCATGCCATCCCCATTGTTTTGAATGGTTTATCCCCTATAATTCCTTGTTCGAACTCTCCCCACCCTTCATGGCCTGTGTTCAAATACTACCTCTTTCATATGGCTTTCCTAAGTTTGCTAAGTTTTTAAACAACTGCTTTTGTTGTCTGAAATCCTGTTAACATCCTGCTTCATATCAAGTTGTTCATATTTATATTCATCTTTGCATCTTCCATAATGCCTGACACACTGGAGTCACTCATTGAATGAATGGTTGTTGAGATTGATATGCATTGTTTTAGTAAAGAGGATTAATGGAATAAAAGTGTTGATTCATTTTAATTCTTCCTTTCTCTGAAAAATTTTAAGGTAGAAGAAAATGTAACTTTGAAAAGAGACTTACTGTTGGTTATAATCTAAAGGAAAGAAATTGGCATATTTGGAACTTAAGGCCCTTCTTGCTGGCAGCATTGTGCATTTAGAATCAAGAAACTTCTTAATCAAAGGATTATCTAAGGTCTAACTCATAAAACATGTATGTCTGGCAGCAGTTTAAAAATGAGCTCTTTTTATGGGGTTGCACATGGTCTTTCTCCACACCCTTCCCTGAAGCTAATTCTTAAGAGGTGAGACTTAGAGAAGTTTGGTCATGTAAAAAAATCAAAGGTGAAGAAAGACTAATGTGCTTTCCCTGAAGTAAATGCAGTTTGAAAGGTTTAGCATGTTGCTTTGCATATTTAACACTACATTTTCATTAATTTTCTATTTGGCAATATAGTTGCTGCATTTTTCAAGGAAAGTATTGTAGTGAAACCTCAAGAGTACTTTTTCACCTTTTTTAGAATACCTGA